AAACCATTTCAGGTGACTACCTCTTGAAGCTCATGGAGAGAATGCCAAGAGTGTGCAAAGCAGTAATCAGAGCAAAGGGTGGCTATTTTGAAGAAACTAGAATATAAAACATGTTTTCAGTTATTTCACCTTTTTTTGTTAAGTACATAACTCCACATGTGTTCATTCATAGTTTTGATGCCTTCAGTGAGAATCTACAATGTAAATAGTCATGAAAATAAAGAAAACGCATTGAATGAGAAGGTGTGTCCAAACTTTTGGCCTGTACTGTACAAGATTTTCCTCACAAACAATGTAGTGATTCCTCTCAGTCATCACTTACGACCCACGAAAAGTGTGTGGTGGTGTATTTTTCCGCAGAGACTCTGACCTCTGCCTGTATTTTCTTATTTTCTGGGCTCAGTGTTCTTCCAAAGCACTCAGGTGAGGTTGGGGCTTTATAAAAAGGTCGCAACCAGGTGCCAGAACGTAATAAGCAGGCATCCAAGAGACACAGCGCCAAAAAAACCCAAATATAATGAGGTGAAATGCCAACTGAGAGTAAATATGGGGTTGGCTTTTACTTTTACTTTCTCTGGCGAGTGTGTTTACAACTGACAATCCTGCGGAGTATACCTTCAAGCTTAGTGTAGTGTTAAAGGAAAGGTAAAGGAGTGTTTGGCTTCTTGGTGTTCAGATGTGTATGCAGATCACTCTTGTATTATATCTCAGATATATAGCTCGCCTCTTCTCTGTGCCTACCAGGCCACATGTAGATAGAAGATCAAATAGCGGCTGATAGTCAAGGAGAGAGCAGAAGACAGACAGACAGGAAGACCTAAAGCGGGCAAAGAGAAATAAATACAGATGGAGTAGAGGGAGAACTGGCGTGAGCCCCAACCTGCACTCTGCATGCTCAGTTTGACCTACTTTACTTTCCTCCCTCCTTCTCTTTTTTTTTCTTCCCCTTTCTTCATGCGTCTCCTACTCTTTGCCCCCATTCTCTGTGATCCCCTTTCATGTAGCACAAGGAACCAATAAGTCTGAAGAAGGACTCCCACCAGACACCACCGCTGATTCCTATCTCTCCATGTCATTCTGTCCTTCAGAGCCGAGCACGCCGCTGTCTTTCTCCACATCTCACTGTCACAGCCTTGGCCGGCCAACCATGCAGTTTGTCTTTCATCTCCTCTGTGACAATCTAACAATCTACTGTTTTTAATGAAGGCTATATTAAGATTGGCGCCACTGTGGAGAACTTAATAAGGGTTTCTCCCACAAAGAAGCCGTCATTAGGCAACATGTGATTGGAAAGATGAACGTCGTATTGCTGACATAGTTTCAGCATGAGGTCATTGTGCCTGAATTGTGAAGTGCGTTTAATGGGATGGTGCCATGGTGTCACTGGCAAACAGCATTGACAACAAGGTGATCACTGAAGACACTTTGTTCCCATCAACATCTGTTTGAATGACCTTTTGTATTTGCTTATCTTCACCAGTGTTACCAACCTTTCCCGAAAAGATAGGCTCTGTGATTTCAACACATCTGTCTGACTTCCATGAGATATTTGTGTTATTGGCAACATATGTGTGTTTGGACACACACAAGTGCATTGTCCTGAAGATGACATACAGATGTGTTAAAATGCAGCGTTCATTTTTAGCGTGAATGATTGTCACGGGGTGATTGTTACCGGCAACCACATTGCCATTAGCTGCTTGTACTGGAAACAGAAACCACTACTGTTCAGCCCTCCACCAACTCCTAGTTAAAATACTGGAATGCGCTTCAGTGCGTCAGTGCAACGGGTTACCTTATTATCACAGAGACTAAATACATAGCAGTCATTCAAATCCTATTGGTGAATTCCTGTGGAAAGAAACAATCTGGATGTGTTTTGCAGTTTAATCTAAGCAGGTTTAATAAGAAAAATGCCTGAAATCACGTGCTCTGACGTGAGGCTCTATGTTGCTACCGACTCTCATATTGTTCTTCTTAAGTGCTGGTAAAAACCGCTACTTGTAAATGCTCCTCTTTGAGAGACGATTGTTGATCCAAAGACTAAACACTTGAAACAATTAAACTGTGGGGACGTGTTTGAAGGTTCAGTGAGTCATCTCTGTAAAATCATCCTCTAATGCTGTGCCAGATTTTTTCCACATCCATTCCTCTGTTTGTTGTTGCAGTAGAATTAACAGAGAAAGAAGGCGGGTAAAAGATCACTGACTCAGTTAGATATTACAGGAAATATGCCTTCCCCGTAAAGGAGAAAATCCTCAACTCTATACTTAATCTGGTTTCATTTAATGGCGCACCAGATGTGTTCGAGGAAATGAATCAGTGTTTTATCATCTAATCAATCAAATGTTAAATCAGTTACTAACTAACAAAGCATCCGTGCCTGTTTCCTCCGCAGACTACAGGACTGGGCCGTGTTTCACCCAGGTGAACAACCAGATGTGCCAAGGCCAGCTCAGTGGAATCGTCTGCACCAAAACCCTCTGCTGCGCCACCATTGGTCGAGCGTGGGGCCACCCCTGTGAGCAGTGCCCCGCCCAGCCACACCCCTGCAGGCGAGGCTTCATCCCCAACATCCGAACCGGAGCCTGCCAAGGTCAGATCGGAGCACATACAGTCGCATACATCTCTCTCATTCTTGTACACAGACACCTGGCAGATCTTTTCAGCAATGTTGACGGAGGATTCCCGCAACACACAATTGCCACGATAAACAGTGCAACCAGTACTTAATCCATCATTATCTCAGCTGGAATTCCTGCCCACAACATCCGTGAGGTAGTGTTAACAACAGCAAGGATGTTTACATGTACACAGGTACTGTACATGTAGGTCAGAGACGAGCATGTAGTTTCCTGTTAAGGTCTAAGCAGAAGCATCTCCATATCCTTGAGTAGTCCACGAAAGCTGTAAACACTGAACAGCTATGGGTGTTATTTATTTAGGTGTCAGTGTCTCAGTGACTGAGCAGGTCCCAGCTGTCACATCAGTCTTTCTTCAAGGCAAAATGGGAACATGTCCTCACCTTGCTTAAACTGCTGTGGTGCATTCACAGTGCATTCTGTCACTGATTGATATCAGAGTGATAGCAGGATATAAATATGCATGTATTAGGAAAGCAAAGATACTTACAGTGTTAATTTAAACACTTTCTCACTCACAAAAACACTTAGGGTCCTTCTCCAGACATATTTGAAAGCAGTGATTCCCAACTGGTCCAGCCACGGGGTCCAGATTTCTCCTTAGTGATTTGTTCAAGGTCCACATGGTTCAGTGTATTCAGCGTCATACTTGCGTTTGGCCATATCACTGAGCTAGTTTGCTGTCTCTGTCATATAGCTTTCCATTAGCCACTCACTAGCTATGTTTCCATCCAAAAGTGATTCGAATCATTGGGAAATGCGCATTAAAAGAAATATGAATCCTGTGTGTTTCCATTAAATGTACGGACTTTGGTGAAAACTACGAACTCGCGTGAGTTTTCCGCAGAACCAGAAACAAAACAAGTCTTGCATTCTTCTTCTTCTACGTTTTCTGGTGGTTGGCAACCAGCTTGTAAATGCATTAACGCCTTCCCGACCTGTAGTGTGGATATCACCATGGAGAGAGGTGCGCTACGTCAGACTTAATTCGAACATAAGTGTTTCCATCTCCCATTTTGCGAATCAGCATTTTTTTGAATCAACCAAAACCCGGCTAAAGCGAGCGTATTTTAGTTTGTGCGAATCAGGATTTTAATTTAAATTTTGGTGTTTCCATCATAATTTTCCGATGCGATACTTCTAGATGCGCATCTAGACAGGCTGATGGAAACATGGCTACTCTACAGTAGGGAATGGCACTGCAAAGTAAAAGCTGTGTGCCGGAAATTCATTGTACTTCAAAATAAAGTGTGTTTTTTACAAACTTGACACGTTCGCGAGTCACTTGAGGTCCATTCAGAATAGACCCAGGACCCAACAGTTGGGAACCACTGTTTTAAAGTATGTAAAAATACTTATATTGATGCTACTGTTTTGTTTAACATGGTCTTCCCACATAAAAAGTTTCAACTAAAAACTTTGAAAAGGGGTAGGAAGCAGATCCACTGTTCCTCCCTCATTGAGAAATTTTTGATCTGGTCCCCGCCCAGCTAGGTTGACCAGTGAAAGAGCAGTGCGTTAACATTAGAGAAAACATTGAGGAGATTCAGCCATCCATGTTTGAGCCTCAGTCAGACCCAGACTCAGATAAGGAGTCTGTTGTGCACCAAAAGTGGTGACTAGCAGACGTATGAGAATGTAAGTGTAGTTAGCATCTTTTGGTTTGTTAATGCTCTTTGTTAGTTGTAGGCTAACTGGCAGTGACACACAGCGTTAATGGTTGTGAGTCATACAATATTATCTGCCATGATGGGGTTTTTGGTAGATAGTGGATGGAAGCTCCAGGATCTGGTTGACATTCAAAAACGGTCTCAGGTTTTTTGCAGCTGTTGTGTTTAAATGTCCTCCCCCTTAGATATATGTTTCCCGAATCAGGCAGCGATTAGCTTTTGTTTTAGTGATGTACCTAATCTATATTGCAACATTAGAGTTTCAGATTTTAGGGAAATGCTCAGACATCGCCCCCTTCAGTAGAGGAATGTGAAAACACCTCTCTAGTGACAAACGTTGCACAGATACAAGTCAGTATAAACAAGGTCAGACATTTTGGAGGACATGATAATTTTGAGTTGAAGATTAACCATAACGGATTTAGTACATACATAACAGAATTAAACAGCTCTTGCTAAATGGATCCAAAAAAGTGCAATATAGAGTTTATAAGCGAGAACCTGAACAAAATATGAACTGAGATTCACCTTCTTCCATCAACATTCCTGTTGCTGGTGTCCCAAAACCCCCTCAGACCAGACCAGCGTCTCTGCATGCCTCTAATAACCTGTGGCCCTCACCAGACTAAGCAATAAGACTGCATCAATATATGACACATGTGGAGGTCGTGTCCCCTGTTAAATGAGCCCAGCCAGGCTCTTTGTTGCCTCAGTCCAGCTCCTCTCACATGGACACACCCAGCACCACCCTGGGCAGATTGTGATGGTTGATGTCTAGCTGAAGCCGTCACAGGGGGAGACTGTGTTTTTGGTACTGGTGCTCATAGCACCTGGCCGCACTTCAACAGTATCACAGCTAAGGACGTTGAGTTCATGTATTTATGCTAGGAAGTCGAGGATTATAGTAAACTCAAGTGTTGTTTACATTTACAATAGAAAGCAACGTATGTTGTAAAGAGGTTTCAGGCATCTGAATTGCGGCCCACATCTCCCACTCATCCAGCGATTTAAATCATGACTGAAGTGAAACAAAATGGACATTCCATCTATTTATCAGGCTAATATGTTGAGCAATCTGTCTCTGTTTTTGTGCAGGCACAAAGCTAGCTGTGCTATTTATTTTTGCCAGGAGCAACTACATATTTGCACCAAACCCCACGTGTGCAGAACTGGGTGGAGTAGGCTAGCTGTGTTTATGCAGATCAAGTGGTACAATCCAATGCCGGGTCTTATTTTGGCATGAAATTGCGCAAGCCAGTAATTTTCATGGCTCTAGTTACAGCAAAGGCGAAGACACAAACCTGTCAAAAATCTCATTTACCTTCTCATTAACTGTCTCTAAATACTTATTTGGGGCCCTGTATAGTATACATGTGTGCTTTGTCCAAGGAAAACATGTTAATTGAGTTAAATGGCCAATGTATCAGATTCCAATGTAATGTCTATAATCTTTGCAACATGCAAAAGAGCGTTGAGTGCTTTTTAAAAAGTTTTACAAGTTCTGTTTATTCTCAACTTTTTTCGGAGCCATGAAAGAGGCAATTAGGTATAATAGCTATTGGCTGGAATACCGTATGTACCAACAATTATTGATGTACTAGCGCTTGGCACATGGAAAGACATGTGTTAAACATTTCAACAGGATATAACGCAGCCTTCCATAAGATATAGTAATACCACAATCCGCCCAGCTATATGTATGAGTCCGTATGCATTATTTATGAGGGTGATTCAAAAAGGTAACACATCTGGGATCAGTAACTGGTTTGTATTTAGCTCCACAACTTCCTCTCTTTTTGACGTGGCTGCCAGGCTGCTCATGTGTTAGAGGTATGCCAGTGTGAGATGATCACTCATCTGTGTGTGACTCACATGCCTCCTCTCTCATTCTCTTTTTCACTGTCTGTACTTCTCTCTCTGAATCTCTATTTTTGTCTTTTCTCCCCTTTCTCTCTCTCTCTTTTTTTTTGCTCCTTCTTTCTCTCTCTCTCACACACACACACACACACACACACACACCAAAGACACCTAATCGGCAGAAAGCCTAGAGCAACGTCTCTCTGGCAGCAGTACAAAGCGCACCTGACCATGAATCCAAATGTAAGGATTGCACTTCAGGCTCCACATCAGGATGTTGGCTGATAGATTCTTTCTTTCTCTCTCAGCCTTTTGGCAGAGAGAGTTTCTCAGCACTAGCCCATATTTTCAGCCTTTCTCAATAAAGAAGCAGAGATTGAATGTATTCAGATGATTAGAAACAGGCTGTTTGTATATATGTGTGTGTGTGTGTGTGTGTGTGTGTGTGTGTGTGGTTGTATGTGCAATATGTACACATATTTTAATAGTATAGCTGCACATTTACAATACTTGGCTGCTGTGTTGTGACTGGCAAAGAGGTGAATATAAACCCACTGTGTGTGTACAGTTTGTGTGTGTGTGTGTGTGTGTGTGTGTGTGTGTGTGTGTGTGTGTCCCAGGGTAGACAGGATCAGAGGTATCCACAGTTTCTTACAGGAACCCGCCCTCTGACATAGTCTATGCCCAATACTGGGGAAAGTGACTCACATTGAATGCTGGGAAAAACTTACATTTAAAAAGCCATTTCCTGTTCAAACAAGAGCTGGAGTGGGTCTTTCTGGAAGTGGTCTTACACATCACAGCCGGCGCCAAGTTACCACTCGCTTTTACCTCATCCCCTTTGCAAAGATGTAGAACAGAAGAATGAAGAACAGTGTTTCGGCAACAGAAAGTGTGCCGGACACATGCTCTAAAACGTGCTTTGGACCATAGTTAACTAATATAAACATAGCGTTTTTTGTAAAATTCACATTGTTTGAAGTCCTATTTTTGTTGTCTTGGTGTATTAAAAACATACTGTAGGATGCTCCATCTCTTGAATCATGCTTTGCAAACACTACTGATTATTCTTACAAAAGTCTGTTTCTTTCTGTTCTTCTCTTAGATGTGGACGAGTGCCAGGCAGTGCCAGGCCTTTGCTCCGGAGGTAACTGCATCAACACTGTGGGATCCTATGAGTGTAAATGTCCCGCTGGCCACCGTCAGAGTGAAACCACCCACAAATGTGAAGGTGAGTCTGATCTTAAAAAAAAGATGTATTAGAGTAGTGGGTTTAAAGAAGCTTTATGTGACTTTCAGAGTGTATCTATGATTCTGAGTTTGAGCTGGGAGTGTCTGCACACGGCTCTCAACATGGAGGTGGCTGAACCGGTACCGGTGCTAACAATGCAAACAGTGCTGACAGAGCTCATGGTGTTAAGGAGGGGGGAACCATAGGGTGGGCTGTAACCGCTGTATGAGCATAGTGTAGAGCGGTGGCTATTGGTAAGCCAGTGGGATACACACACAGAGCAGGGACTCACATGGGCTAATATAAACACACACCCAGACTGTCTACCACAACGAAGAACAGAGAAACTCAGATTTTCAACACACACAGAGGTAGCGTGGCTTCATTCTCTGCTCAGGACGCCATTACCCCATTCAGTGTTAACATGGCAAATAGTGGTTTGCTGCTAAATTAATGCTCTGAACGTCACATACAGAACCTTCAACACAAAGAAATGTTCAACAATTTGGAAAGAAACCTTCATAGTGAGTACCTAAGGCATTAAAATAGCATTTAAAAATGAATGACCATCATTTCTGTGCAACCCTGGACAATAAATGGACCATGAGTACCAGCTGCCATCTTTGATGTGCTGCGGTTATTGTATAAATTGCCAGATGTTGAGTGACGGGTAGATATTAATTCTGTAGATAAAGCAGTGCAGTGTAAGCTCAGTGTCAAAAACATAAGGACATAAGTTTTGTTTCAACATGAGGGGGGGGGGCACATATGAAGGAGAGGGTTTGGGGGTCTTTGCCAGGAAATTATGGGCATCAAACACTTCATTTCCTGCCTTGTGGTGAATTTTTATGCACAAATTTATGGTGGAAATGTATTTTTTTTCCCATCAAAAATGTTTGCCCTCTGCTACTTTAATGTCTTTTAATAGGGGGGGGGGCAATGCAGATGTTCTAAATATTGAGGGGGGTGGGTTCCCTGCACCCCCAAAACTATTCCTATGCCTGTACAAACACAGTTTTCACAAGTAACAGGAAGTAGGGTGTTGAAGTAAACAGGGAGACAGTCACCAGTATTAGATTCACTGTGCTCTGCTGGTGTGTCCATAAGTATGATGAGAGGAAGAGATGTTGATTTCCTGCTCGTCTGTTTAAATATTCTAAAGTCTGATCCATAAAACACCTCTGAACTCATTCATACGAAGCAATGAAAGCCACGCTAATGTTTTGAAGCTATGTGCTGAGTACTCGAGTACATAAACTAATCACCAGCCCAAAAGAATCCAGTGCAACCTAAATTGCATTTTGTTGAGTTACTGGTGAGACATTCATGGACAGTTCACTTTATGGTAACTGTGGGTTTGCTGGGATCAGTTAACAAATCTCAATGGGCGTTTAAAAAGTGACGACATGCTCAGAGTTAAAGAAGTCTGGACGAGTGCACAAAAGCACACACATACACGTCGAAACACACGCACAGAGTGGATTCACATTACAATGTGTTGATTGGATGGAATTTAAACAATGTCCAGGCTAAACAGTCTGATAGTTAGCCAGGTAGGGGTTGTGTCTGTTGGACTGAAGCCGATGTGTTCTTACTCTTTAGGGAGGATTACAGAAAGCTCTTAAACTGTTTCAGCCAGATGACATCTATTCTACTGAACAAGACCAAGGCCAACCTGGCTATCGCAGTGTATCAGCATATGAATTATTATCTAAATTCTCCTTTTATTAACGTCTTGCATGGCTGAGAGTTGCACCAGACATGGAAAGAAAACGAATGTCTCCACCTTGAGATTCATGGGAAGCAATAACCATGATTCACACCAGAAATTGATTTATGTCACAGGAGGAAACAGGGAGGATGACTTCACTAAATTCACTAGAGTCCCAGTTTCAGTTGTGGTTTTGGGTGGACGCCACCAACGGTTCAGGACTTACAGTAAAGAGAGAGTGAGCGCTTCCAGGGAGATGCTGAGCGCTGCTTAAAGAGATTTGGGTGTGGATGTTGTAGCCACATTCCAACATACAGCAGGCTGGGCAGTTATTCTACAAGGACACTCTGAGTCAAGGTAGAAATAAAGCAGGAATATAGGATTAAACAGTCCTGTAGCCCTTCTATCTGCTCCCTGGGCTCCAAAGATTTCCAGTTACTTTAGCATTTTGAACAGAACTGGCCATTGATGATTACATGGTGATTGACAAGACAGAGGAGGAGAGAAAAAACAGCTGACTAGTCAGGGTGAGAGATGTGTACCTTAAAGGGATTTTTTGAAGTCGGATTGCATGAGGTACTTGTCCATAGTCAGTGTATTACCTTCAGTAGATGACGGTCTGCACGCTCCCAGTTTGAAGAAGCAGGCTGGATGCCGCCACAGAAGCTAAACAATGCCCTGCTGTGGACAGGGATGCAGGGACACATATTTCAGCCACCTAAAAAAAAAATATGAGGGGTGTCGGTGGCTTAGTGGATAGAGCAGGCACCCCCATGTACAAGAATGTTGCCACAGCAGCCCTGGTTCGAGTCCAGCCTGTGGCCCTTTGCCGCATGTCATCGCCTCTCTCCTCCCCCTTCACACCTGTCCGCTAAAGGCAAAATGCCCCAAAAAAAAATCTTAAAAAAAAAATAAAATAAAATAAAAATCAATATCAGGCTAAGTGTATGCTATCAGTCAAAAAGAAAGTCCAGAGTGCTCAGAAGGTTCATCTAATCATGTGACGAAGGTGCTCTTTGGTCTCCTTTATTTAAAAAATGGCTGTTTCATTTAGAAAAGGTTAAAACATGATGAAAGTGGGTTACAGCCCACGTGTTTCGGCACAAAAGCCTTCTTCAGCATGTAACGCTCAGCACACTAATGCTCCTTACATAGGATGATTAGGAACACCTGAGTAGGTAGGAGGACAATAGAAACATGAGAATTTTTTTTAAGTGTATGCTATGTTTAGAATGTTTTCACTGCTTTACCTTGCTGTCAGACAGCATTAGCATTTTCTGACAGGGAGCCTAGGCTGTGCGCTCGTCAAAGCCTCCAGACTCCGTTAACAAAAACAGTAATTTTACCTTGCAGAACACAGGAGCTGCTGGTCTACCGCTCCCTCATTTGTGTGTGTAATTGTGTGACTTTGGTGAACTTGTACTAACTCTTTAAAACACCAAAGCCATGTAATGACACAAACAAACTAACCGAATTGAGGCAGCGATAGCCCAGCACCTGTGTTCTGTGAGGAAAAATTACTGTGTCTGTCAAAGGTGTCTGGTTACTTTGAAAAGAGCACAGATAACAGCCTCAGTGCCCTGTTGGAAAGGTAAAGTGGTGAAACTGTTCAAAATATTGCATACACTTCAACTGATAGTTGTTTTTTTTTTGAGTTGGTGAAATTACATTTTGCTGCTGCCCCCTTCCACAGCAGTACATTGCTTAGCTCTCATGTCAGTACTCCTGTTTGGTTCTCCAAAGTATGGGCTGAGCTGACTGCAATCTCTGTAGGTAATACGCCCACTTTGGGTAAGTACCTCAAACAACCCCACTGTACAAAATCTAAGCTATCCCTTTAAATTACTCACACTCACACTCTTTCTACCACTGTATGTAGATTGATAGCTTTTTATCTTCAGCAAAGGTGATCATGTTCACAAAAGGATGGGTTTATTTTCATCCTTAAGGAATCCCTAAATTACATTCAGATTGGCAAATTTAATCTCTAAAATGTCAAAAAAAAGTTTTTTTGTTTGATGAACTTAGTGAACAATTACTCTCTTATCAAAGATGTTGTTGATCAGCTAACAGACTGATCTTGATAGCATTTAAAAGGACAACATGACTCTTCAGACAACACAGCAAGTTGTTTTTCAGGTCAAAAGCAAAGGCACACTGTCAGGCGAGGCAAAACAAAGCAAATGTTTTGCCCCTCTGCCCAACGAAAAATGGGAAACGGTGCCCCCAGTGGCCACTCAAATTGGCACATTTTAGACATTTGACAATTATAAACCCCTTAAACCTCTCATAAAAGCAATATACAGTGTACCAATAGTGCCCCAAAAACCCTCTAAAGGGAGCTCCTTCCAGCTGCTGTATGACAGCTAGATACAGAGCCTCAATGGGCTTCTTTGCCTGGTGCCCCCCACAGTCAAGGATCACCACTGGTATAGAGTTAAATATGATGTAGTTAATAAGCACCAAAATACATGTAAAATTGTTTTGGTGTGACAAAGAGACATTTTAAGTAGGTTTTTAGCCTCATATACAATACTGTCTAAAAAAGGTCTGAGCTTTTATCAACCTCAATGATGTGAATTAGGATTGGCAAACCATTTTTTAACAAATCACTTCAGCAAGCGGGGTCTTTGAAATGATGTGAATTCTGCCTTTAAAAAGTTCAGAACAGTAACAGAAAGCATGTTTTCTGTTTTCCAGATGAAAATGAACTGATGTCAGCTCTCATGTTGTTGGTTTGTTTATTTTAAGATTCATCAGCTTCGTCATTTGACCCACGCAGAGGAGAGAAACGGTTCAGTGTTTGCAAACCTTGTAAAAACAAAAGAACTGTTGTGACGTGTATCATAAGTCATGGATCGGCAGGAAACCCATGTTTAGCAAAATCTCGGAAACAATCATCCCAGGTCCTTTGGGGGGGTTTTATTGAAATGCCCTTCGAGCTAATGCACAAACAAGCCTCACTTAGAGCTCTCGCAGTGAAATTACTGAGGTTTTGGAGCAGTTAAGATAAAGTGCAGTTAAGATGTCATGGGTGTCTGATCGTTTTGGGCACAACAAGGCACCTGGTTTTATGGCCAGCTTTTAGTTCAGACTGTGCTTAACAGTCTCTCCCTTTTTCCCTCCTTCTCCTCTTTATGCTTTTTTCTGCTTCTCCTTCCATAAACACAGTCGTTTGGCTCAAAACCAGCTGTTAGTGCTGAACAAAGAAACACTTACGGCATCTGGGAGACTTTCTCATTACACACTCAGACCTCCCCGTTGCTCTGACACTCAGGGATTCTCACGCACTCGTGTGGTACAAGCACACAAACACAGACAGTTTGATACATCGGAGTCAAAATAAGATGAAACAATGGAAACTGGCAAACATTTACTTTATCTCAGTCTTTTACATTTGTCATAGAAATGTGCACACACACACAGACTTGACGGCTCAGACATTTATCCAGGTGACACACATTTCCATCCACACACACGGTCAGTCCCACAGCGCTCCGTCTGTGTGGAGCGTAATGTCTGGCGTGTTGTTGTTGCTGCTGACACAAGGTTTATTTGGCTGGGCTTTTACAGCCTCACCTAGGCCTTCTGCCACTGCTGTCAGACAGGAGTCAGCAGGGGAAGAACAGCCTCTCAGCTTCCCACGGCAGCCATTACTACACACATTCAAACTGACACACAGCAAAATACACATGGATATAAGTTACACACCCTTCACTCCTAGAAAGACAAACACACCCCTCACTTTTTCAACCAAGCACACACGGCACACACACACACATTACCGCATGCACCACGTCTTCGCCCTTGCCGTAATTATGCCCCACAGTGGTGCAGTAATTACGTATGCGTATATATAAGCGTGACACATCATAAAAACCCAATACCTTCTGGAACTTCACTTTGGGTTTCCCCGTCATGGAGCAATGAGGCCCCCTCCCTCTCAATAATACAACTTAATGCCATCATAAAGCGTACCACACCGAGGTGGGCCCTGCCAAGCAGCGTGCAGGTACTCTCAGACATCATTTCTGAGTCAGACTGTGGCATGTTTAAATAAGGTCAGCCTATTCACAGTAACCTTGGGGAGTTTTGTTTCCTTTTTGTGCAGACATTTCTGTCAATTTAGTTGCCATTTGTAGATTGGGAGCAATTGTAGATACCACAATTGCACATATAATCAAGCCGATTGCTGAGCAGCACATATACATATGTTTTGACTTATAACATGGCGGGGTTCCTTCAGACTGGAATGATTTCCCTGCACATATATTTGGTTTCTGTCTGCATTTGGCGTCCTCATAAGATTGCTTTATTGTCTTGTTGTCTTGGCTTTTGTAGAACAAGTTGAGAGTCTTTTCAGTAGTGCTGCCACTGTCGTGTCTTTTTAGCCTGATTGTTTTTTCCTTATATTTACTTTGAGGAATATAAACAAAAGAAGGCAAACTTTTCAATGTTACATTTTGCCTTGTCACAAGCAGCAGACCAAAAGCTTCAACAAGGTCAACAAGTTTGCTGACGATGCAGCTGTGATAGGTCTGATGATGATGATGAAAAGGCCTATCTGAAAGAAATACAGGACTCGACCCGCTGGTGTCAGGACAACAACCTACTCCTGAATGTCACCGAAACTAGAGAGCTGAAAGTGGAGTCAGTATGCACTTGGTGCATACCACTGACTCAGTGGTGAGCAAGGTACCTCAGACACTTGAGGAAAATCTAGGTATCACCTCAAATACTAAGCAATTTCTATTCCTGCAACAAGAGCGTCCTGACAGGAAACATCACAGCCACAAACAGGACCACCAGGAAGAGAGTGGTTCATTCGGCTGGACGCAAAATAGGTGCTGCTCTTCTCTGTTTAAAGGATGTTTAAACTACAGGTAGGTGCCACAAAAGAAGGCCAGGAAAATCATTAAAGATCCCAACCACACAGATAACAGCCTTTCTTCCTGTTGAGGTCGGGAAGAAGGTCCCGAATACACAAGGCCAAAACTGAGAGGCTCAGGAAGAGCTTCTACCATCAGGCCACAAGGATCCTAACTGAGGTCACTGCCTAGGCCTGCCCTAAGACTTCCTACTCTATTTAAACTCTACATTATCTGTAACCGCTTGTCCTGTTGAGGGTTGAGGGATGATTTGACAAATTGGCTTCATTATATTAAAATCAATAGATATCTGATCAAAGACTGAGGAAAGAAGGTTATCAATGCATTCAGCACCAGGTTTCAGTACTTGACAGTTTGTTTTATATATTGTTTGATTGGTTATTGTGTTGTGAGTTAGGTCAGCCTGATACACGATTAAATTTGAGCTGTCTTAGCATCAGTTGCCTCAGTGGGAATCATTCACTGGTCAGTGCTGCTGCTGTTGTACTCTCACTGAGCTTGTTGGATTGTTCCTGTCGTTCACGTCTCATGGCTCACGACTTTGAGTTCCAGCCTGAACACAACAGCAGAATTGAATTAATTTCCACTTTATTTGACTGCAGTTCCATTTGATTTGCTTCATTTTCCCTCCGGGAGGAACCGTTGCTCCAGTGCAATAAACTTTTACTGCAGCGTGCTACTGCATCATTCCAAACAAAGAGATTTTCGAACATTGAAAAAATATTGTTGAGCTGGCGTGAGACGCGCTCAACAGATGTGTCCCGTGACGTGAGGTGAAGAGGTATTTATGAAGTAACTGTATGTTTGCTTGTGTGTTTCAGACATCGATGAATGCAGCACCATCCCCGGTGTGTGTGACGGAGGAGAATGCACAAACACTGCTGGTAGCTACGTCTGCACCTGTCCACGAGGCTACGTCTCCAGCACAGATGGCTCCAGATGTGTGGGTGAGTTCACATACACACACATTTTCAACATTTCACTCTCGTTTGTGCGTTTCCTCACCCCCTGGCTAGCTGAGAGCTTCACATCTGGCCGCTAACTTCCCTCCCTCCATCACTGCTTCCTGTGAGTGGAGTTCTGATGAGTCGAGCCAGCCTGTGGTCACCACGTGCAGACAAACACACTTGCACGCACTATTTGGCCTTGACAGCTTTAATCTGCTCTAATGTTAGTGCCCCTCTGACTCATTCGCACACACACTGACACACATACAGCGCATACTTCACTGACATGTCCCATGAAACACTACCAGGTGTTAATGTATTCCTGCAATCCTCACCAATCATGGCAGCCACAGTGAAACACAACCAGGTGTTAATACATTATTTCAAGATTTAGCCCCAAAACGGACAGCTCAGGGTCTGACTGTTTGATCCTATCAGCGTCACAGGCCCAGCTCTGCTAATAAAAGCTCCTGTTGCAAAGAAAAAACGTAATTGGAACTACATGTGACCTCCGAGTTGTTTTATAATTTCCATGCAATCCGTCCTGCATTATCTTTGGAGGTTTTTATTTTGGAAAAAGTTTGAGAGGAAATGGGACGAGAATAACAAGAAGAATAGTGCCCACATGTGACCACACGTGTGCATAAGCAGGGTGGGGTGTGATCTCGCTGGTCGTATGAGGGGGTCGTTCAGCTTTAATGTATAGTTTTTTTTCACGTCTGACATTTTCCAACTAATGCAATTTGAATACACACATAAGAAAACGAATAAATAAACAATTATAAGTCATTATTTTTGAAGCATCCTCCTATTTTTAAATATTTTTTTAATCTGTTAAGTGCAATACACATTTTCATTTCCTTTTCAATGCTTCTCAATAAATGAACTCCTTCGACTGTTACACATATACATCCCTGTTTTGTATTTGTTTCAATTCAATAAAACAGGCATATGGTGTTGTTTAAAGGAAAACAAAGAGAAAACAGAGGAGAGAGGAATGAGACGACACCACTAACCTCAGCATGGTGGAACCACTACACATTATAAAGCCAAAAATATGCAGACAACAGAATATTAATCCACTACAGGATTGTTCAACATCTCATTTCAAAATCAGAGACATGCTGCGGTTAAGGCCTCTTCTCTTCTGTGAATATATTTAAATTGAGAGACAACAGCCAACATGTTGAAGGAGAGGAGGACAAAGGAGAATGAAGAGGTGATGGAAGACGGTTGTGTTTTTTCCTAAACAATAAAGTGATGCATTGAAAAGAGAAGTGAAACGTACTGTATGATATGTGCTGTATGTGTGTATGTGTGATGCTGCACCCAAAGGTTCAGCATCTGTCTGCTGTTATGCGTGTCCATATTTTTCTTTTTTCCTCTTTCCACTGTCCTCCCTTTCTTCTTCTTCGCCCAGAAGATTTAAGTTACTCTCTCTATATATTGCTCCCTTTCTTCAGAGTATAGTTTGGATCACACTGACGCTCACTCTCTCAGCTAACAGTTTGGTGATTTACAGTAGAAAGTCTCTCACGTTTCCATCTCCATGTGGATCTTGTGTCTTGCTCTGTCTCCTCTGCCTGTTGTGTTTTTGTTTTCTAACTCGTTATCTTCAACCCTGAAGTATTCTCACACTCTCATCCTCCTTATCTGGCTTACCGTTTCCTCTTGGAGCTTTTTTCTCCTCTGTCCTCTGACATCTGGATCCTGCACCTCCTTTCCTTCAGTTGTGGTTTCCAGTTGCTCTTCTGCAGCCTGCTGAAAAGAGAGCAAATAAAACAGGTGCCAGACACAACCCCCATATATCCTTCCTCGGTCTCTGTCCCACTTCCAAAATGGACAAGACTAGATTGGGAGACAGAGGCAGAGATGAGTGAACCCAAAAAAAACACCAGACTGGACCGGGTCAGGTCCAAACTCTCTTTTGGATGATCCAAACCAGTGGTGCAAAGTTACACTCAGACACAGATATTATAAACTCAGTTGATTTCCTCTTCACGTGACTGACACACTTTGATGCAATTTCCCAAACTGTCTGATCTCTTTGGCTTTTTTGTGGTCAGATTATAAAGTGAATTAAAGAGAGAGAATTGTTTTTATAGGGTTGATCTCTCGCTTGCTTGCCCTCGTGCTATAGAAGCAGGATGTATAGCTCTGGGCCTGGATGCTATGTTGTGTGTCTATTGGCCTGTGTTTTGTGGGATGTACTGTACCGTGGTAAAGTAGGCCAGTGGGAACTGTTGGGGGGCCTGACGGTAATCAGAGCCTAATGCCCTGTCACACGGTGGAAGCTCGGAGAAAAAAAAGAAAAAAGAAGAAGAAGAAGAAGACCTGTCCAGTGAGTCAGTCTGTAAAAACACCTCAACAAATGAAAGCATATGCTTGTGTAGTGAAGCAACACTAGCAAGTAAACCACGGTCTGGATCCAATTTAAGTCATCATCATCCTCATCAGCGACCCCCACCCTCCTCTCCTCCACTCGGCCTCCAGCTGGGTCATTCCTATGGGATGTTTTTTAGACTGCATTTGTGTACAGTTATGTGTGTGTATGTATTTGTACAAGCGTGTGTGTGTGTGTTTCTGTTGTGTGTGCATGCCCGTGGATATGTAGAATGCCTATCTTTGTGTGCAGTTGCATGTAAATGTGTGTGTACTGTACAATATGTGCTCCCAGACACAGCACAGCCCCTCATGTTCTATCTAATTGGCAAGAATTGCTCCACATGGAACTGATTAATTCCAGACTGCTGGCTCATTAGTGAGTTAATCGACTTGTGCTCCTCACGCCGCTCCCCCCCTTCATTTCTGCCCCC